TGTTGTGGGCAGTAGTGTTTTTTTTTTTTTTTTTTTCTTTAAGAATTATTTTTATCTAACTTTATTTATTTTAATTTGACTAGAGTAAGAGAGAGAGAGAAAGTGAGAAAGCTAGCTACCAGGTTCGGGACTTGAACTGTAGTTGGCCATGTAGGAGTCTCGCACCCTTAACCACCACGCTACCTGCCAGTCCCACAGCAGGAGTTTTTAACAAGGTGCATTAAGCCTTTGCAGTTTGGTCAGTAAGAAAGAAAGGGGAAGAGATACAGGGTGGGTGGTTAGCAGTGTCTGCAGAACAGAATGACCTCACTGTATCTTCCTGATTTTCCCAGATACATGAGGCGTCTTTGGAATGGGATGGTCTGAAAGGGCCAGGGCAGCCTGAAGGAGAGTCGAACTTAGAAGGAGGGAAGGACTGGTGCGGGGGATCAGTCTAGAGAGATACAACCTCGTTGTGAGCCAAGCGAGACCTGTGTGTACAACTCAGCTGTAGACGGAAGTCTGGAGAGCGTATTTCCTAGAGAACCCAAACCCGCGTTTTGATTGGGAACATCCCGAGAGGAAGCTGGAGGAGTGCATTTCCTTGGAGATGAAAGTATGGGCCTGGGTTTTGCAAGGTGACCTTGTAGGAGTAAGAGGTCATCTGTGGGGATCCTCCAGCTTTGGGCAGCTCTAGTCAGTACCTTAGTCTTCCAAGGACAGACCCTTCCCATTCAACCCCAGCTGACTAGGCCTTCGGAAGCTGTCCTCTCACCACAGTTCTTTACCTCTCCCCCTTAAGAAAATCCAGCAGCTCTCAGAGGGCTCCATGTTTGGCCACGGCCTGAAGCACCTGTTCCACAGCCGCCGCCGGTCACGGGAGAGGGAGCACCAGGCGTCTCAGGATTCCCAGCAGCAGCAGCAGGGCATGTCGGACCATGACTCCCCGGACGAGAAGGAGCGCTCCCCGGAGATGCACCGCGTCTCCTATGCTATGTCCCTGCACGACCTGCCCGCCCGGCCCACCGCCTTCAACCGCGTGCTACAGCAGATCCGCTCCCGGCCCTCCATCAAGCGGGGTGCCAGCCTGCACAGCGGCAGCGGGGGCAGCAGCCGGCGCACCAAGAGCAGCTCCCTGGAGCCTCAGCGCGGCAGCCCCCACCTGCTGCGCAAGGCTCCCCAGGACAGCAGCCTGGCCGCCATCCTGCACCAGCACCAGTGCCGGCCCCGCTCCTCCTCCACCACTGACACTGCCCTGCTGCTGGCCGAGGGCAGCAACGTGTACCTCCTGGCTGAGGAGGCCGAGGGCATCAGCGACAAGGTGAGGGGGGACAAGAGGGCGGGGGGCCAACTCAGTGGCACAGGCCACTTGCTGAGGGCGCCGGCTTGGGACTGGGAGAGCTGACCTGGGGCCCTACCTTGCGTGCTGACATCATGCCATCTGCAGAGTTATCTGTGCTGGTTGAGTCAGAAGTATGACTATGCCAAAAAGAAGAGATGATCCCCCAAGTGGCTATATTTTTGTTTGCTTAGGGTTTGTTTTTGTTTGTTTGTTTTCCCCAGAATGATATTTTGCTCAAGCTGATGTTGATTTTGGTTTGTTTTCATTAAACCTGCTATGAAGAGGCAGTAAGTGTGATAGTTGGAAGCACAGACTTGAACCATCTCTGGTTCTGCCACTTCCTCATTGCTTTAGTCACTCAACCTCTCTGTACCTTAGTTTAACCAACCAAAAGTGGAGTTAATCTCAGCAGAGGTGCTGCAGCATGAAATGAGCTGGTATGTGCAAATACTTGGAAGAGAGTGAACACAGCATTGTTTTGGTTACTGCCAGCCATACAAGGGAGGGGAGAAATTCACGAAGCGCTGTTTGGAAAGGAGAAAAGCTAGTTTGGCACTTCATCAATTTATTTTTCCCTTGTTTATTCATGTGACAAATATTTCTTGAGTGCTGATTATGTGCTATGAGAATGGACATGCTGGTGGTGTGTCTCATGGTAGGCATGTCTAGAGAAGAGACAGATGGGTAAATGGACAGGGCAGGGGGATAAGGTGGTGGCACATGCTAGGGACCTTCAGGGGAGAGTGGGCAGTAAGAGGAGAGAGAGAGAGTTGGCCAAGACCTTCTGGAAGAAGCCACTGAACTGAACCTCAATGAAGGTGTATAATTTGGCCAGGGAAGACCAGGGGAAGGGGGAATGAAGGGCATAGCATGAACAGAAGCTCGTGAGCTGGTGCCGGGGCTCCTAGGGGTTCATTGTGATTGGAGCATCCAGGACTTTCAGAGACTGATGGGCCAGATCACACAGGCTTTGCCATGTTGAGTCTGGGAGCTGCGTGAAGCCTTCGAAGGCTGTTAGGCAGGAAACTTGAGGGAGGAGGTCCCTCAGGTCTCAGTGTAGACAGAGATCGGAAAGGGGGCCAGGGTGGAGTCAAGGAAACTATTTGTGGAGCTTTTGCAGTCTAGGCAGCAGTGGTGGGGATGGCGGGGAGACAAGTTTGGGAAACACTGGGGAGTCAGAGTCAGTGTAGGTGAGAGCGTGGTCTGGGGAGCAGGAAGGGCAGGAGCAGTGAATGACACCGAGGTTCCTGACTCAGCAGCATCGGGGATGCGGACATTCTCAAGCTGAGGAATCATGGGAGAAGGGGCACATTTTGGGCGGAGTTCAGTTTGGGACCTGCTGGGTTGCAGATGCCTTTGGGAGCTGTCTAAGTAGAGAAGACCACCCGGCGGTCAGGTTTTTGGGGTAGCAATTGGGCTAGGCCAACACCCTGGGAGTGCCCCTGGGAGGTGGAAATAGTGGGCGTGGATGGGATCCTCAACAGGGCATGTGTCAGGTGAAAGAAGGTCAAGGACAGATGATCTGATCTAGAAGGGGACAGCCAGGCCTAGGCCTGAAAGGGAGCCTCCAGGTGTGTAAGAGTGAACCTGGGAGAGATGACTGAGCCAGGAGGAGGAGGAGGAGACAGTCAGCCGAGGGAAGTGCAGTGGAGGTGGCAGTCAGGTCCAGATTGGGGAAGTGCACCAGCAGAATTGGGCTTGGGGCAAGAGCCTGTCCCGGTGGACTGAGGTAGTGGAAGTGGAGGCAGTTGGGTGGCCTGGCTGGGGAGGAGGGGTCACTAGGACAGCAGGCGGAGGCAGGCCGTTCCTGCTGGGTTTCCAGGAGGGGAGGAGCATTAGCACCTATGCATTATCAGGAAGGGCCGTGTTAGGGAGAGACTGAAGATAGCAGTGAGGGGGGACAGTTGTCATTGCGGTGAGTTCAGTGAGCAGGTGAGAGGGGACGAGACCCAAGAGTCAGGGTCCCTCTTGGTCACATAGAAGGTCACCTCTGGGAGGCAGAATTCCTCGCCTGGTGTTCATTTTCATTGGGATACAACCAGAAGTATGACTGTTTTTGGAGAAAGTGGGGGAGGGACGTGGGCTGGCCCAGGGAGGCAGGACGGTGTGTCGCAGCAGAGCGAGGCTCTGGGCAGGCACATGTGGGTAGCATCTGGTGCAGAGGCCTGGGGCGGAGACTTGCAGTCATGCTGACAGCACCTGGTATTGTGGCATGTCTTCCCCAAGTGGTCTTCAGCTGCCGGAGCACAGGGGCAGAGCTGAAGGGCTAACAGACTGACCAGGGGTGAGGGCTGCTGGGAACGTGCTGGAAGGTCAAGAGTGACAAAGGAGTCGGGGTTGGGTCAGACAGCGCTCAGAAGGTTAGATCCCTGAAAGCTTGAGCTGGCAGAGAAGGGGCGGGATGAGAGAAGGTGAATGCACACGGGGGAAGGAGATGGGGGTTTGAAAGGAGCTGAGGAGCTATAAAGAGGAGAGGCAGGAGAGGCCTTTGGAGTTTAAGATTTTGGGGGAAGGGGACTAGCAGGTGATGTAGTGGTTAAGGCGCTGGACTCCCACATGGCTGACTGCATGCAGTTCAAGTGCTGGACGTGGCAGCTTGCCTTCTCACTTTCCCTCTCTTTCTCTCTCTTTGCCCTATAACAAAATATAAAATAATAATAATAATAATTAAATGCTAAAAATAAATGAGAAGATTTTGGGGGTGGGATAGAAAAGACGGGTTGGGGTATACTGATAGAGCATAGCAGACGAGGAAGGATACATTTTTTTTGGGGGGGGTAGAGGTTTTTCCTTAGGGCATGTGCATAGGCTAGAGAGAGAGAGACAGAGACACTGAGAGGGAAAGTGAGAAATCACCCCCTAGGGGGGATGGCTGCGCCACAATCCCTTCTCCTCCATTCTCCTGCTGGGATCTTGGACATACAAGCACACGCGTCCAACGTGAGTTTCAAGCCACTGGGTCTGGAACTCGAACCACAATTGACCGTGTGGGAGTCCAGTGCCATAACTGCTACGTCATCTGCTGGCCCCAGGAAAGGACTCTTTTAAGAGGGCAGGAGCTGAGAGGTTAGGCTGGTCCTGTGACTGCCTAAGATGCAAGATGCCAAGCCTGGGAACCAGGGGACGTGGAGCGGGAGATGTTTGGGAGGGAGGCAGCAGGTGGCTCTGGTGAGTGGAGGGCAGGGGTGGGTAAGGCGAGGGCCTCAGGGGAGGGTAGGCCTGTCCATGAGGGTGCAGGTGACTCCCAGAGCAACACTGGGTGTGTAGGATGCTGGTCGTGCACCAGAGTGCATGGAATGTGGGAGGAAGAGTCTTCTGGGTGAGAGGGGGCCCCTGGGGAAGTGGAGCTGAGGGCCCGCAGGTGAACCGTGTTCCCCCGACTGCAGCCAGGAGGCTTCCTGAGTGGAGGGGAAGGGGAGCGGGAGAAATGATGACTGACCAGAGAGTCCTCCGTTTGGGGACAGGAGGCCTAGGAAGTTTGTTAGTATCATGGTTTCCAAGGAAACTCGGGCATAAAGTTCTTTCTACCGTGGAGCAGATACATCTCCCCACGTGGGACCCCGAATTTCCCTCACATGCACGGTTTCTCAAGTTCTGTGCGTGTTGACACTTGGATACGTGTGCAAGTTCATTCATTCAGCAAATATTTGTGTGTACGCTGTGTGCCTGGCGCTGCTCGGCTGCTCAGGTTTGCTTTTGCACTTTTCAACTTAGGAGGTGCTTTCGTAGACAGCACCTTGTGAGTTGATTAGAACAGTTGTGTGAGATAGAGAAGTCAAGTGGGGATACCCCACGTTTTGATAGGAAGTGGCGTCGAAGATGGGCTATGACTTGCTCAAGGCCACAAGCTCCGAAGTGACAGAGCAGGCGCTTGAACCCGGGTTTGCTGCCCCAAGCTAGGGCCCCTTCTGCCACGCCGCACAGCTGGGAGCCATAGGTGGTGATGAGGCACAGCCTCCACTGTGTTCCACACTGGGCATCCTCAGACCACGCTCGGGCATAACCAGCACCCTTGAGATGATTTTCCAGCTGTTTCTGACTGCCACCTGTTGAGCCATTTCATGTGTTCCATGAATGACCTTGGTTCTAGATTTCAAGAAGAAAGGACTTCCCACAGGGTTGTGGCCAATGACAGCCTCGCCTGACCAGCCAGCAAGTCAGCAGCTGCCCCGTCCTTTCTCCGGCAGCGCACTGAACATTTTCACTGTGTGTCTCCTCCCTGTTTCCCGCTCGTTCAACGACTATTTATTGAGCATCTGCTATGTGCCAGGCATTGGGGACACGGCTGTGAATTAAAGCAGAGCCCCTGTGCTCAGGGAGCTTACATCCTAATGGGAAGAGACAACCATTACATAAATGACTACCTAATACGTTCAGTGGTAACAAGGGCTAAGAAGCAAAAGAAAAGCAAGGTGAGGAGGCAGAGATTGGTGGGGGTGGACTTGCTGTTTGAACAGGTTGGTCAGAAAAGGCCTCTCTGCTAATACGGAGGAGTGAATCATGTGCCTCCCTGATGAAGAGCATTTCAGGGAGACAGACCAGTGTGCGCAAAGGCCCTGAGGTAGGAATGTGTTTAGGGTGTTCGAGGAACCCATGAGAAGGCTGGTGTGACAGCAGTGAACTAGTGGAGTGTATAGAATAGAAGTAGAGAATTAGGCAAGGTGTGAGGGGAGGGAAGGAGGGAGTGGGCAGAGCCGCCAATCAAGTAGGGCCCAGTAGGCCCCAAACAGGACTGGTGATTATTGTTTTCTTCGAGTGAGATGAGAAGTCACCAGAAGGTTTGTACAGATGAATGATCACTTTTTGAAAAAGATCGCTGTGGCCGCTGCTTGCAGAGTGTCTACCCAGAGTGAGCTGGGGCGTGAGCAAGGAGGCTAGTTAGGAAGCCGTTGGACTGTTCCAGGGCTGAGACCGTGGTAGGACGGGTGGAGGTGGGACAAAGGGGCCGGATTCTGAATTGGCTGCAAAGATCAAGCCAC